AGTTTGCACTGTGTATTTGTGATTGGTTCATTTTCTAGTGCTTGGATTGATGGTGTCAGTGCTCCATCCACCTAGGGGTGGAGCCAGGATGTGATGTAATGGCAAGAAGAAGGTGTGTCTCGCTCTTTGCAGGTTCCTGTTTGCTGTTTGTAGCCGCCATGAACTGCGGCCCAGCCATGCCCGCCTGTCTTGGAGCCAACTGAGTGTGGACTGAAACCTCTAAAAACTGTAAGAAATAAACCTTTCCTTTCCCAACTTTGGGCTTCAGGTATTTTGTCTCAGCAACAAGTAAAAAGTAACTAATACACATGGTTATAGTAAATGTCATCTTACAATTCATAGAACTAGAAAAGAAAGTTTTATTAAATGTCTCAGATTGTAAAATTTAATAAGTGACAGTATGCACATGCAAGTAAGGGAGTGATTCTGAAGTATTTAAACATGATCTTGCACTGTCTATCATATGAATGGCTGTTATGATTTTCATCTAGACATCTCCCCAAGGCCTCATGTGTTCATAGGAGGGACTTTTTCGAGTTGACTGGATCTATCATGTGTGATACCAGGATTTAGGGTTTGTGGTACTATATTAGTACATCAATGATACGTACATACTGCCAAAGAAGCAGAATTTACTTTCCAAATTTTTATTATCAGCAACAGTGTTTGCCCATGGGGTTTCTGTAAGTAAAATGGGAAAGGATTGAGCTTTTCAAGGCTGATTTTCTCTTTACCTACAAGCTAATTCAGTCATCTATATGTAACAGTTTGAGACTCCCAATGACTTGGAAAGGGGAATCTTGGGCAAACATTTCACTGTATTACAAATCAAATTGCTTTAGATGGTACTGATACACTATCTACTAATGAATGATATTTACTAGGTTGAAGTTATCTTTACACTGCCTGTGTAGAATAATATGCACCTGGGTCTTGCCAAACCAAGTATTTGTGAAATTTGGCCAGGTTATGTTAAACAAAGGCAGCTACCGGTTTAAAGTAACTCTTCCATATTAATTTATGACTCTTCTTAACAATTTTTGAGGACTCAATGTTAGTTGTTAGTATGATCAAGATTAGTGTATTTGGAAGTAAATTATTTCCTCAAGAATATGGTTGTGTATAACACTTTCATAAATTTACCCCAAGTACTTTTCTTAGTTTAAATAAATTCTTCCAATGATATTTTTATTTCAGTTGGGCACAATAAGAAACAGTAGTATAAATGTTCCTGTTCTTGAAGATGAGTTGAGGAGAGTTGTTCTCTCTCTTTGTATGGAAGCTACAGAGGTGAACCTCTGGCTGCCTTTCAAAAGCACCTGCTACGGAAAGCACAGATGACTGAGAGTGATGAGCTAGAGTTACTGTGGAATTCATGTCAGGCTGCTCTCAACCTTTGACTAAACACAACTAAGGGACTATAACTTACTTCTCCTGTCTGCTCAGCCTCAGGTGACACTACTAGCAGAATTACTCTATAGGCATGAAAACCACGCCTCTTCGCAGCAGGGAACCCACAAGAAAACTCACTTCACAAAAACAAGGTAAATGATAGGGTTCTATCCATAGGATGTATTTTTTTTTTTTTTTTTGGAGATTGAACTCATAACTTCATGCTAGCCAGGTAGGTGGTTATGCTGTTGAGCTAAATCCCCAGTTCCAAGAATCACACATTTTTGTTTTTTGTTTTGGTTCCAGAGCTAGAACTCACAATCTCATGCTTGGCAGGCAGGTGCTTACGCTGCTGTGCTAAACCCCTGGCCCCTGTAAATGTCATGCATTGTTTTATTTAGGTGAAACTAGTCTTGTTGAGTACTGTAAAGTCCTAATGAAGTCACAGCTAAATCAGTAGCTGTCTTAGTTACTTTTTACTCGTTGCTGAGACAAAATACATGAAGCCCAAAGTTGGGAAAGGAAAGGTTTATTTCTTAGTTTTGGGAGATTTCAGTCCATACTCAGTTGGCTCCAAGGCAGGGTAGCATGGCTGGGCTGCAGCCACACAGTGTAGCACACCAATTCAAGCGTTAGACAATCAACCAATCACAAATGCACAATGCAAACGCATGAGGCCTGGGGGCCACAGACATAAACCATGACAGCTCAGAGATAATAATACAGAAATTTGCTGGGCCTGGCCTCAGGATATAGTATAGGCCGGTGGTGGCAAATTTATGGTACACATGCTGTAGCAGGCTTTGGTATCACTGAAAGGTCTAACAGGTTTGTCATTACCAGGGTATGTACTAAATGAGAAATCTTTATATGGCACCATGTTCTAGTAAGAATACATAGCTCTCGAAACCAAGAATTAAAAACAAGAGTGGCCCCATATACAATCATTCTCAATGAACACCTAGGAACTTTGCACTTTACTGCACACATCTGTGGGCTAAGCAGAGTTAGAGACTCTGGTCTTTAATGGTTTCTTCTCTTGTAAGGAGGCAGAACAAAGATTCAATGACTAAGTACAGCTGAAGCAGTTTTGGTTCTTTGCACCCATGGATCAGAAAGCAGACATAACTGAATAGCCAGAGGAGGTGGAACTACTTTTGTACACTGGGGACAAAGTGATACACACATGAAACATGGGTGATCCACTTGGGTGCCTCTTGATGCTCTTGACCAATGGCACCTGTGAATGTACGTGCAACAAGCCCTGACTGAAAAGACTATTATAATTCAACAGTTAAGAGTCTTAAATATAATTAGGGTCATATCAGCAGGCACATCAAGAAGACACACTGAAGTGATGTCTGAGGGTAAGGGGAATATGAAGTGAATTGTGCAGGACTGAACAAGTACCAGCGTGACACGAGGCCGCTGCAGTGTGAAGGACCAGTTTATCTCATGACCCTTCCTTTTCCAAGCTTTCCAAAGAGGGGTTTATTGGAATAATAGAGGAGGTGTACTATAAACGTTGTTATAAACTGGTTCATACCCTAGCTATGGCACTTTTGTGATCAATGAGCTTGCATCAGATCAAATTTTTTCTCCTCTGCTCTAAGACAGTGAGAGATGTCTTAGAGCACAAAAGATGTACTAGAATTGTAGCATTCTGACCCAATTTGAAATTCTTTTAATGGACAACTATGGCTTATGGTTACCCATTGGTTTGGTCAAGGCACTCAGAATCACACTGCAAACTGGGACTTTTTCTACTTGTCCTTTCATCCTTTTCTGCTCTCATAGGCTTCAACATGTATTATAATCTGAGTTTCCTGCCTTCTGCTCCCTTCTCCTCCCTCTTTTTTTTCCTTCATAGGCATTTTTGCAATCTCTTGGACATCTAAACTTTGTTGGTATCTATTTGCAAAAGACAGTAACTGATCCTGCGAGTACTGTTTTCAAATTTCAGCAAAAGAAAACAATAGCCTCATAAGGTGATTTAGAATGATTTAAGATCTTCAATGGGAAAAGTAGACCAGAGCCCAATCTCTAGTCTGTAACAGAACTTTTTTGAGGATTAATAATCCCTCTGGTTTTGTTCACTCTACTCTTAGAAATTTTTCCAAAATTTTACAATTCTAAGAATAACTGATAACTGGGTTGAAACCACTCTGATATATGTTAATTTCAGAAATGAAAATATCTACTGAACAATAAATTGGACTCACTATTTGTAGGGTGGCTCTGACAGTACATTCAAATGTGATTTGCAAAGGAATGCAGTATGAGGAAATACAAAACACATTAAGAAGAGACAATATTTGTACCAACAATACAAGAAGCAATCAGCAAAATTCATTAGTTGACAGAATTCAGGTAAAAGGTTTTAAAAGACGGGAAGTTACTGAAAGAATTTTATTCTGGAGGTAAAAAAAGACCTGGAGGCAAGACCTCAACCCAAAGGTCCTGTGCTTACCCAAAGGTAAGAAAGATGCTGAGCTGGGGCTGGGAACAACACAATCACACTAAATACTGTGTGACTATAGAGAACCAATTTATGTAGTTCATGTTCCTTCATGGCTTGCTGTAACATCTCACGTCTAAACTGTCCCATTTTATTGGCTCTACATTAAAAAATACAGCTGTCATCCTCTCATTTAACAAATTCATCATTTTGATTCTGGGCCCCATCGTGTCATTCTCCTCGGTTATTGTAAAGGCTATTATTAGCTGATGTATTCTCAACATTGCACAGTGAAATTCTTTTAAGTTTTAATTCACGCCTTTCTTCCAAGACTGCAGTGACCGTCAAGACCCTCTATCACTCTAACTTCTGCTCCAGTTCCACTGATTTGCCTTGTTCTTCCACAAACACACAAGGCACGCAGTCTGTTTTTTTTTTTTTTTTTTTTTTTAATGCCTGAAGCACACCCGTAGTTATATCACTGACTCTTCTGTCCTAAAAGCCGCTTAACTCATCAATGAAGTTACGTCAGTGGACTATTTGATTCTGCAGTTTGCCCCTCAACCTCTCAATTCCCCTCAATTTTTCTATGTAGAACTTCTTTTTAACATATCTGTATAGCTTTGAATTGTATACTGTATTGCCTGTTTTTCTTTCCCTCAGACTCCACGAAGGGTGTGGTCTGCTTTATTCGTGGATGTGTCCCCCTGTTATTTGGAAGAAACTTAATAAATAGTGAATTTATTTCGAGGCTACATTTTCCTCCTGCAAGATTGCTGTTTGGTTATGAAACTAAGTTTCTCAGCTTCTCAAGAGGGTAAGAAAAATAAAAGATAAGCTCTGGGTCACTGGGCTAACCTCATATTTAACATTTATCACAGCCCAGCTTAAAGGCTCAACTTCACATCGGACCCTAGAGGTTTACAGCACAGAGAAGTCCAAGGAACGGCATACGTTACTTTGTTGGGTTGGTGCAGCGGAATAAACTCGCCCCTCTTACAGCAGTTCTATTCTCTGCACGTGTGATTTGGCACAACCTCTTACCGAAGCTAACACAGCGCCGCCGGCCTGGGGCCGCGCGACACGGACCTTGCCCTTCCCACAGCTTCAGTGCCCTCACTTAGGTGGTTAGTCCATGCCTAAACATTGTTCTTTTCGGGCCGAGATGTCCTTGGCCTCTGAGTCGAGGCGCCGAGGCAGCACACCCTCAGTATGGCCCAGCGTTCCGCAGCACCCGAGCACGCTGAAGTGCCGGGTCGCGAACAGGCGGCGCGGTGAACACCCGCGCGAGGCCCCGCGGCGCGTCAGGTAAGCGCGCCGGCGACCTCGGCCCTCAGACGCCTTCGTTCCCGCCACACGCACGCGCAGTGTACGCAGCATGAGGGTCGCGGCCTTGATCAGGTAACGCGGCGTGGGGGCCGCCTCCCTCCTCCCGGTCTGCCTTTAGCTATTTCTGCCACCGCTGGCACCCGAGGAGAGTGGGTCTGTGCGGGGCCTCTGGTCGGGCTCGCTACTCCTCTGGGCCACAGGAAGAGGCGGGGCCTCGGGCTGTTTCCCGGCTTGCTGGCCCGGCGCTGCTGCGCGCTCCTCGCCGCTGGCCTTGGGTCTCTCTCTCAGCGAGTGCTGCTCTGGGGAGCCTTGAAAAGTCCTGGTGTCTGGCTCTGTCACCAGAGGCGCGGGTGTGATTACTCAGGGACTGCCGGCCTCGTGTTTGTGAAAGTTCCTGTGGGTCTTGGAGAGCAGCTCCTAGTTCGACTTTGTTAATAACTCCTGCGTTTTCTCCCCGGTTTCCTTCGTTCTGCGCTATAGTTCTCATGGATCTTTGGTATCCCGCCACCTTCCACTAAGGTCACTTCTCCATCGTCTTCCATTTCACCTGTGGTTCTGCAGGGTGGACATAGATTGCTCGCTGTCTCCCTATGTTTTTGTCCTGGAAATCTCTTCCCTTGTGGGGACACTGATTTGCACTGTTTTAGGCTGGAGGTAGTTCAGTTGTTTACAGTGCCCGGCCACGACTGCTTTTGTGATAGCATCCTTCATATTCCAAAGGAGTTGAAATATGTAATCACCCATCCTATTTGATGTGTGAATGAGTTATATGACTGGCAAATCCAGAACAGGACAGTTTAGAAGTTCCACACTCATTCCCTAAATTGAAGTAATGAAGCACACAATACTGAAAAGGGAGTTTAGACTATTTAAGGATTTTGTTTCAGGAAGACTGGGTCACAAGGGTCTAAGATACAGTGCAATGATGCATTTACTTTTGAACTATATTAAAGATTTCATAAATGTTTAACTCAGTGTGCTAGGTGACTGGTACAAGTTGACACTATTGACCTGTTACAAGCTGGAGACGACATTCCAATTAGCAGCTGTTAGAATACTGTATTCCAATTCCTTTTAGGAGAGTATAAGATAGCTATTCTTATTTCCTCTGTAAAGGAAATGATTAAGTTTTAACTACTGTGATTTTCACTTGGTTTTCAGAAATCAGAAAAGTAGTCCAGGAAATGAATGATTCACATCCACATTCAGTTTGCCAAACATCTTAAAAGATTAATACAACACACACCTACTAAAGATAGAAACTTGGAGGGAAGGAGAGAAGATCCACATAATCTGTTACACCAAATACTCTAATTTTCCTGTGTTACTTTTATAATTACTGAAAAAAGCAGTGTTGGAAAATCATTACAAAACCTTGAGTTTTATGTATGTCAGGAGGTATGTTGTGTCAATACACTAACATACATGCCCATGACATGTATGCCTATGTCTTACATATCACATACCTGTATATTTGTTTTATGTCTATATGTGTTCATTTGAACCCGAACAGTGAATCTTTTTTTTATTTGTGTATGACAGTGAGAGATAGGCATGTGTTTTAGCAATAAGTAAAACATTTTTAATACCTTTAGGCCAGAGTACTATTTTATTAATTTGTAAACAAGTCATTGAATTTTATAGTTGAGTGATACATTGAAGATTACCAAAGTGGGCCATTCTCTGTAATGACGTGTGTAGACCAAGTGTTGAATAACTATCCCAGATTTGGAAACTGAAAATCTGACCTGTCCGATTTCTTATCTAATATGTGCTGTACACTTGCATCTGGATATTGTAGGAGATTGGTTACAGGACCTCTGTGGGTTCTAAGATCTACAGATGCAAAGTCCTTCATATAAAATGATACATAGGACCTCCAAGATACTTTGTCATTTCTTCATTATTTGTAATGCCTAATACAGTGTAAATGCTATGTAAATAGCTATAATAGTGTATTTTAGTGAGCCTGTGCATATTCTTGAGAGGTGCAATTTTTTTTTATTTTAAAGAGAAAAAAGAAAAAAAGTCAGGAAGTAAACAAACCACAAAGCAACAAATAAAGCGAAAATGACAGCAGCAACAACAAACAACATAAAAACAATAGCTACATAGGTTTTCAAAACAAGATGATAGTGATTTAAGAATGGTTGTTATATTCCATATTGTTATCTTCAAAATAATAGTTCTGGATACAGAAATACAACAAAAAAAGTGAATTTCAAAAAAAGACAGAAGGAAATCCCCTACAGTTGCTACAATGTGTATTGTTATCCTCCAAATAGATGCTCAGACTACCAACTTTAGCCCTACAAGGTCAATCAATCCAAGCATTAAGTTATCATTATTAGTTTTTACTTTAGTTGCTGCCATCTCAGCCTGACTTTGAATCAACCATTGTTTTGGAGGGGTCGGGAGCATTGCTCTTCTTACCTCCTAGCCCTTGCACTGGCTGGCTCATAGGAAGGCGTGGCTTGGCTTCTTGATTTTCTTCCTTAGACCAAGCTTTCGCAAGAGCCAGGGGCAGCCATAGAGATACAATTTTTGTTGCAAGTATTTCTTTGGCAGAATTTGTTGAACCCATAGAAATGGAAGGTGGAATGAGTGTTGACTGTGCTTGTGTGCATATGGAGTGTTAAAAGGAGTGTAAGGTAGTAAGGACTTCCCAATGTTGTTCACCTTCTTAAAATTTTTTGTTCTTAGAATATTCAGTTAACATTTTGTTAGACATTAGTTCTCCCTCTGCAGAACACATTAAAAGTAGTACTTTGAAATCATATTTGAGATGTTAGTGCATTTTACAATTAATTGTAAGGCTAAGTGTTCATTTTGGATGCACACTCTTCAGTCTTACATATTTCATAGAGTTAGTGTTTTTTTTATTATTTTGGGGAAATAAAGTAATGAGGTTCAGTAATGGTAGTTACAGAAGAGTCATTTAGGAGAATCTGAATCTGAAGAAAGGGTTGCAGGCTTTTTGTAATACATTTTTCTCCTTGTACTGTTCTTCATGAGAAGCTCTGAAATGAGCATTGTACATACAGTAGGGGCTGATACACTAATAATATTGATGGTTAATATTACTAGTATAATTCATTATTTTGTTCTCATGTCTACAAAATATGAAGGCAAGTATATTAAGATTTGTCATTACTCAAATATTTAATTTGATCCTTTAATTAGTGATAGCAGCCAGTACTTGGTGGAACAGATTTTTTAAAAACTTAATTCTACGTTTTAAAACTTTAAGGAGTATATATACTGTTGTGCTGAGATTTAAGTACTTTTGTGTATTAAGACCACTCTGCCAAAGTAGAGGGTCCTTCTACTTGGTTTAGAATATTCTTTGTTTTTGTGGCGTATAATTTTATGAGCACTTGTAAGTAGCAGCTTAGACATTCAGATTCATTTGCCCAGTTATGATTTAGAAATTAATTATTGTTGCTGCATTCTGATTGTTAAAGTCTCATTCTGAAAATCTAATTATGATTAAATAATGTGTTCTATTTCAATATCTAGTGATTTTATGTTGAGTAATTGTCAGTGAGCTAGTTCTACCTCCCTTTTTGACTTGTTCTGCATTGTTTTGTTTTTAGTGGTGGGAAAGACAGCTGTTATAATATGATGCAGTGCATTGCTGCCGGCCATCAGATTGTTGCTTTAGCAAATCTGAGACCAGATGAGAACCAAGGTAAGTAAATGCCTTTACTAGGAAATTCTCAAAATGAGTGAAACTTACCTTGATAATTCTATTCTCAGGGAATATGGAAGGGGGAAAAGAAAAAGCCTAATAGATATTTAGAACTGTTAGATGCTCGATTCTACATAGCAGTTAGCACTGTTTTCACCTATATATATCCTTTAATTTTCCTAACAGCTGGTAGAAAGAGGTATTGTCAACCATACTTTTAATAGACAGGTATAGTGAAGCTCCGAGTTTTGTTTGTCCAAAGAACAGTTCACATAGATTTTCAAAAGTGAGATTTGAACTTCAGAATGTGTGCCATTGTACCACACCTCGTCTCCAGGTGTTGGAGGCAGTGTACAGAGAGATAACATAGTCCCCTAAGTCAAGGAACTTGAGAGCTAAGACATTGATAGTAGAAATGTTACTTTAAAACATGTAGTTTTATCTATTTTAGATGTAAGCCAAAGCTGTGAAACTTGAGAAAAACATAAAGTACGTATTTCTACTTATTTATGATTAAGAAATATATCTATATATAGTTTAGATACTTTTTTCAATTTTGTTTTGAAATTTTCACAGAATTTAAAACAATTATTCACAATTGGCTTTTTAAACTCTTTAGTTAAATAATGGTTAAAAAATCTGAGGGAGAAAAGATTAACACTGATCTAACTTTACACAGTGTTACTCTTTTACATGACTTTTCTACTAAACTCTTTTTATCATTTCTTTTACTTTTTTAAGCTCTGTGCTTTTGCCTCTCTTTTATTTTAGGATGAATTAAGAGACTAGTGTATGTGAAAAATACTATTCATACTGACGTGAAGTAGGTATCCTGTAAACCTAGTTGAATCAGAATCTGAAACATAATATTTCCCTTTTTTGTCTCCTTTCCTTTTCTTCCTTCTTGCCAGTCGCCTGTATTACTGCTTTTATATAATTTTGTACTCATTTTCTATTTTTTAAAATCTTTGTTCTTTATCCCCTAATAGACTGATTATAAGAGATCCTGTCTTTTGTCTTTCTCTGAATGCTCTCAGCATTTGGGGCATCTTTGTATCACTCGTATACATTCAAAGTTTGTTGGCATACCAGTAATTAATGAACTTACTTGAATTAGCTTTGGGATAAATGATCAGATATTTCAGTAAGGTATTTGAATTTTCTACTTTTTCTGAGGTCAAGATCTAATTAATGCTGGAAGTAATGGGGAAAGATAGAAGAATAGGTTATATAGCGATAATATTGATGTTTAATGTTACTGGTGTAATTCATTTTGTTTTCATGTCAGCAAAATATTAAGGCAACTATGTTAAACTTTATTTTTCCTAGAATTAGTATTTTTTTATTATTTTGGAGAAATAAAGAAGTAAGGTTGAATAACGGTAGTTGTAGAACATTCATTTAGGGATATCTGAATCTGAAGAAAGGCTTGTAAGCTTTTTTAAAATGCTACATTAATACTATATAGAGAGGGGTAAATGCTTATGTAGAATTTTGTGCTGGCATTCTGATGATGAATAATAGCTAATTTTTAAGAAGTGTGTGTTTTTTAAATTGTTCTAACTTTAAACAAGAAAGAGAAAACCCTTTGAGCATGAATGGGAGAAATACCATGATCTGTATACGTATTATAAGACAAAAGCTTTACCAAAGGGAAAAAACTGCCTTTTCTCTTGTAGCCAATCAGGCAGGAGGGTCTTGAGAGTTCTTAGTGTTTAAAAAGCAGATGTTTATATAATATATAATATATATATGGTGTAATTAAAATTTTCCTCCTTGAAGTTTGTATCTTGTCTTCAGCTTTTTTATATGAATTAATATATTTAACTTGTATGGAATCACTAATGTGTAATTTCCTTGTACTCATTGTTTACTGACAGAATAGTGACAAGTAAAGTTTCTTGGTTATTTTTCTTCCTGCTGAGACAAGATACCCTTCACTCACAACTTATAGGAGGAAAGGGTATTTTTGCTTCAGTTTATGGAGTTTTCAGTTCATAGTCCACTGGCTTCAAGGTCGGACAGCATGACAGACAGCTGTAAGCCTGTCTTCTTTCTGTCCCTTTAATTCTATCCAGACTACAAACTTTTTGGCCGGTACCACCCACAGTCAGAGCGGGGGTTCCATTATACACACCCAGATTTGTGCTAAATCCAGTTAGTTTCACCACACTCTTTTTCCCAGAATCACACACTCTATAGTCTGGCATCACACACCCATGGTCCAGTCACTTCCCAAAAGTCCCTGTATGAGTGCAGACGCTTGGTCAGGGGGACATCTTGATACAAGCCACCATATAAAGTATATCTTTAAGTTAACCTGTTAGTGGACTTGAGACATTTATTTAAAATATTGTTAGTCATATGAAGTGGAATTAACTAAAATTGTAGTAATTGTAGAGGATAATACAGTGCTGTGAGTATGTTGATGGAGAGGATTTAAATAATACTAATTTAAAGTCAGGAAATTGGGCTTATCAGTTGGTTTATTGGTTGACTTCTTTTTCCTTGAAACATATTGTAAAAGGAATCTCAGTGTGGAATACTGTTAGATATGACTTCCTTCTATAGAGCAAATTTGGTTATAAAATTGGGTTTTTAATAGTCTGAAAAAGAATTTATCATCATCAATAAGAATAATGTGCATTTGTCATAAAATTCACAAAACTATCTCTTTCAGTTTGTAGTAGGGACATTTATGGCATGTTAATTGAGGTGCTTCAGGGAGAGTGGAGCCTTTTGGTTTTATTTAATCTCAAAATAGTTGTTGCAGTGTGACTTCCACTGATAAAAGTTACATTGGAGGTAATACTGAATGGAGCCTTAAAGAAAATTTTTGAAATAGTTGAGCATAACTTCATATATGGTAGTATCAAACATAACAAAACAGTATAAAACCATTCAAGAGAATGAAAGCATTTTAGGGCTTTCAGAACCAAATAACAGAGAATGAACAATGGCTACTATATTATCTCATTTTCCATAGAAAATTTGTTTATACTATCACACATAATATCCAATAAGATATAACATGATAAAACTAAAGTAAACAGAAGAACAAAAGCATAGTAGGACTTCAGAGTAAGATGATATTAAATCATTATGGTAGTTACTGTTAATTATGGGTTGTCTTGTGATAAAATGCTGTGTTGCTTGCATTGTTCTGATCTGATCGGGTTGTTATGTCCTCTTTTGTCTCAATCTCTTTAAAATAAAAATGATTAAAAAAATTTTTTTTGACTAAAGTTTTTGAAGCCAGTTTCATTATTTTGTTATACTAACCTTAGGATGTTTCTTGCTAAACTCAGATTTCTTTGTATAAATTGATTCCCTACTATTACAACTTTCATTACCCATACACGAGTCTAAGTTGGAGATGAAGAAAGGCTGAAAGATTTTTTTTTTTTTTTTTTTTGGTACCACGAATCAAACTAATGACCTTGTGTTTGACAGGCAGGTGAAGTGCTTCTGAGCTAAATTCCTGGCCAGGCTGAAAAGTTTTTAAGTAACTTTGGCTATATCTCTACTTCCTACTGGGAGCAGTGGTAGATTTATTAATATAATGTTCCATTTTATAGGAATTCATTCTGATGTGTGGGTTAGTACCCTGGTGAACCATATAACATGGCACATGATCATAGTTTCTGTTGTTAAAAGAGTATTCTCACTGTCATTATTAATGTCTTTTGTTAGGATTATTTCTATTTTTGGTGTTAAGTGTGGACCTTTTTGTTAATATACATATAACACCCAGACATGTATATGTCAAACAAATGACTTTGCAAATTCTTTTTAACTTAGCGTAATGTGAACATTTTCCATGTCATTAAATATTATTCTACAATTGTATTTCTCATATATCTTCTTTGGAACACAAGTAACTCCATAAAATCTAAGTCTTCTCTAGGTTGATAGACAGTTACACTGTCTCCCCTTGTTGAAGGATTTGAAAACATGTTAGCCTACAGCATTATTGGTCCCCATACTTTTAACTTGACATGGAATCCTTTTTTTTTATTCCATCTGATGGGATTTATAGTCTGCATAACGCAAATTAGAAATATGCTCAAATTACATTATGGACTGCACAGTATTATATGGATACATAATAATTTTTACTCCACTATAAGTAATATTATGTATATCTTTGTAAATAATCTTGTGTATGTTCACTATTCTTTTCCTAGTTTGTAAAGTTATAAGATCAAAAAGTCTATCCAGTATACTTCGAAGTTCATTTATGTCTTTCTAAGATCTAATCTGTTTTGAATATCTTACCTGTATTAGTATTTATAGAATCTTGTGATAACCAATGACTATATTATTATCCTAAGTTATCGTGTTCCTATACACATTGGTGACTGCCCTGATACTGAATGTATGCTTGTTTTGTTGATGTACTGAATGAGATACACTAAGAACACTTAAATTTTTCTCGCAAATATTTGTAACTTTATAACTAATGATTCTTTTTGGTTTTTTTTTTTTTTTGGTACCGGCGATCGAACTCATGACCTGTGCTTGTAAGGCAGGCACTTATGCTGCTGAGCTAAATCCCCAGCTGTGTGACTTAATAAGTAGTAGACCTTTAATTAAGAAAGTTTTTCTTCAAGTGTAGATGACTTTGAACAACCCTGAATGATTTTTTAAAAAATGTATGTAATAAAATTTTGGGTTAACTAAACTAATCAATTTATTTGATATATAGTATTACTCTTTTTAAACATTGTATATAGTTCACAATCTTATGTGTAATTTTATTTGTAGTTAGCAATAGAGATGAATAGAGCTCCTAAGAATTAGATTAAATGCAGCTGTGGAAAAATGTGGACTTGTTATATATTATTCTGCGATATAAGCTTACAGAGATATGTGGTAAAAATTTAGTTTGACTACTCTTCAAGTAGTAGTACCCATATGGGCTTAGAAATTTTCTTTCTTTTTTTTTTTTTTTACTGTTTTGTTAATTATTTGTACTTTTCATGTTGCAGAGAGGTCTGATGAGCTAGACAGCTACATGTATCAGACAGTGGGTCATCAAGCCATTGACCTGTATGCAGAAGCAATGGCTCTTCCTCTCTACCGCAGAACCATAAGAGGAAGGAGCTTGGATACAGGACGGGAATATACCAAATGTGAAGGTGATGAGGTTGAAGATCTCTATGAGCTTTTGAAACTTGTGAAGGTATGCAGAGAGACCAATTACAATTATAATTTAGTGTATAATTAGTACATTTTATTTATTAAATTGTTTAATAATAAAGAATTTACAACTGTTAATATTCCAACTAGTCTTTGAAAAGATATTTTATCTTTTGGGGGTAGAAAAAAATGTGTATCCTTTATATTAAAGGATATTTTAAAATAAGACTTTAATATACTGTACTTTATCCAAAATTGTCAGATAATATTGTTTATTCAGTCATTTTTTTAGCAAGTAAATCATGTGCTTGGCTCATTGTGTTAACTAAACACAGAGCAGTGTACTAACCAAATCAGATGAAGATCTGTTTGATAGAGGATATTTTCTACAGGAAAAATAAGGACAGACAATAGACAACAACAACAAAACACTTGATTATTGTAGAGTATTAAGAGAAAGACTGAGACAATGTCAAGGTGTGGAGATTTATTTATCAAAGTAATATTTAGTAATATAGTAAATACTATACTTAGTGTGTATAGATCTTAGGTGTGGAGATTATTTATCAAAGGTGATTTTATATTAAGCAGTATCACTGGTAGCCAATTTTTTGAATTCACTGTGGTATTCCTAAGTTTAATTATTATTTAGTTGTCTGGGGTCAGTGTAATTTAAGGCATACTGACAAGATAGGAAATGTAAGCCAGTATTTCTTAACATATTTTCACAAGGAAGAGGAAGAAAGATACCTGTTTTTGCTGTACCAAAGGACAGAGCATTTCATCTTCTGGCTTTTTTATTTTGTTTTGTTTTTGAGACAGGTTCTTATGTAGCCCAGGCTGGTCTTGATGTTACTGTGTAGTCTCGGTTGGCCTTGAACTTGTGGCCATTCTCTTGCCTCAGCCTCCCAAGTGCTGGGATTACGGGTGTGTGCCACAATGCCCAGCTCATTTTCTTGCTTTTAAGAAAAGTTAAGTCTTTTCAAAAATTTATCATAAAATTGTATCATGAAAATTTCTTAGTCTCAAATCACTATATATCATTATACTTTACATTTGATATTAATCAAAGCTTAATTTAGGATTTTGATTAAAATCCTATATGAAAGACTTAAATGCTTTTCAAGTTTGCATGATAAAATAGTTCTTATTTTATGTATCAGAACACTTTCATTTTTACTTAAAAAAAGAAACTGATAGGTTTAGTTATAGGTAGTGTAAAAAGTAGATTCTTTTCAAAAGAAATCACAGGGAAGATACATGCTAATTACAGCTGTTTTGATTATCTAGCAAGGATACATGTCTGCTTTTCTTGGCTGTCTCTCCAGAGTGGTACATTTATGATCTTGACAGAGTTTACTGTAAAATATGAAATGCTGAAAGCAAAGCCTCCACTTTCAGGGTGCAGATACTTAATATATAAACTAATGCTACAAAATGGTGGTACTCACATTAGATGTTTTGGGTTGCCTGAAAATCACAAGATTCTTAACTTTAGGGAAGTAAAGTGATAATAGCTTCACAAATGGTAAGGATAATGATATTATAATCAATTTTAATTAAAAATGGACAGATTAATAGTAATTACGAAGGAAATTTCCTTCTTTATGCTATATTTGGAGAAATGGATGCTTTGTCATTATATTTACAGTAACCATCAGTTATGACGTAAATTAATGCTAATGTTAAATCTTAACAACTTCTGCTTTGGAATTTTGTACATAATATTTGTAACTGTATTTGAAAGAGATATTACCAAATTGTCTGGGACTAAATAGTTCCTTCTTTTCCTGTGTGGAAATACTAATTTTACTATAGGATATTTTAAGGACATAAATATCAGAAATATATTGCTTTTAAGGAAGAACTTATTTTTTTTTATTTTATTTAAGAGGAAAAAGAGAAAAACACAAAACAAAACAAAGCGGTGTAAGGGTACACGTAATACAGAACTACAAAAAAAGAAAAAAAACATAACAGTAAGAAATCACCTGTTAATAGATTACATATTATCATCTTGAAAATAGTTGCTCAAATCACAGTATCAAAGAATACAAAGTGGACATTCAAACAGGGAGACTGCAAACAGCTGTGTTCAATGATCCAAAAACATTAATATAGTCAGCTATTTAACACCCCTAAACACACTTGCTGTTATATCCGTTAGAGCTCTTTTTTCTTTTTTTCCCTCCCTCTCTTTTTTACAACAAAATTTACACATTTTGGATTTTATTATTACTTTTTTGGGGGGGAGAGAATACAGTCAAATATGGCATAACAAAGCTGTCAGTCAAAACCAAGGATAGACATAGCACATGGTGTAGAACAGAGTACAAGGTTATCAACAATGGTTATCAACGTTGTCTCTTGTTTCCTTAAAAAGAATTGTCTATCTCATTAGATATTATAAAGTTGGACAAAACAGTAGAGAACAAGACCAATAAAACTTAGGCATTGTAAACATTACAGGACTTTAAGGAAGAACTTATATAACTAAGATTTTATAGTTAAATCCATTTGTGGAATATTGGTACAGTGATTCCAGTAGAGGTCTTCCATATTGTGATGAATAATTGAGTAATTATGGAAAAATATAATCTACAAAAGCTAATTTTGCAAATTAGTCTTCATTTGTTTTAAGAAAAGAACTGCAATTTTTAGTCCTCTAAATGCTAGTGAAGTATTGTGAGCATTTAGATTTATTTTCCTTTTAAACATTATTTATAGAAGTTGACTTTTACATATGTCAGTCTTTTGAGTTGGTGATTCTTTTCCCCTCTAAACTTTAGAGCTAATTTTTGACTGAGTTACTCTATTTTATAACAAATTGAATGTATTAGTTGCTGAAAATAAGTAGGAAAATCTCAGTAGAATTTGTAGAGTTGTAAGTTTCCTGTTTTGTATGGAAATTCATGTAAGTGTAATAAGCCTTTATGTGTCATAGATTATTGGGTGACTCTGGCAGGTAGGGATATATCTCAAGGTGTTAGCAAAATTCTGTGCTTTTTTTGTGGGGGAGGATCTAATCTTTCTTTAAATTTTCATTAATATTAAATTATAGATTTGATTCTTGTCCAGCTTAATTTGGCATGTAGATAAACCTATATTATTTTCTGAAAATATAGTACAGTCTAAATTCTATTTGTCTTTTAAAATGAAATAAAAATGTAATAGTTACCATATCTGTAAACATTTTCTATAGAAAACATTTTAATTATCAGCATATTTCTTTCTTACTTGGTGGGAGTTACTTATTTCTGGATCCTGATGCCTGATGCCTTTCTCTTGTTTATTCCACTTTCAACAGAACATTGGAGAGTATACTTTTAAACCTTTACATCTGTAATTCTCATTCTGCACTCACATTTTATTAAACTTACAGTTTTAGAGAGAAAATAATATGAAGCATTGCTTACCATTGTCTATCATTTTGTTGGTAAGGTTTTTGTTCTTTTTCAGATGACTTGGATATCTTTTCAGTTAAGTTCTACTTTGGGTCTTTATGCCTGGAACACTAAAACATCACAGCCGCACCCTCCTGAACATAGAAGGGTGTTTCTTCTATATTCTTTCTACAACTTCCTATGTAGTTGCAAATCACTGTCTTCTTTTTTTCACTAATTATTTAGGGATAGGCATGTAATCCAGGTGAAAACAATTTACAACATAGCATTCTTCAGTCTGAAGTTATTGGGTCAGGGATGGTTTTGTAAATGTATGTTGGTCCTAGCAGAATGAAGACTAGGATTCCACAGGCAGAAGATCAACTCTTTGTCTTGGGTAGAGAGACAAATTTGCTCCTTTTGGTTTTCTGTGTTCCCTTTTTCTGGTAATCTCACTGGTCAGATAGTAGGCTTTCCAGATTGAGTCTCCATCTGCTTGTCTTTTCTCACATATTTTTCATCTTTATGTCTTTCAGTTGTACATTCTGTGAGAGTTTCTTTTTAAATCTTCCTACTTTGCTGAAGTCTTTTTATTTTAGTAATTGTGTTTTCAATAGTTAAGAACTTTTCTTGCTCATTTTATATAACGATTTTTTCTTTCTGTAGAGGCAACATCCCTACATTCTTCTTAAAATATAAATAAGAGAGATAAGTGTTATCTTTTACTCACTGAAATGTTTCTTTAGGGGTCTTTTTTCCTGTGATTTCTTCTCTTTTATGTTGTAGACTTCTCAAATGTCCTGTTTGACCTGTAGTGATGCCAGAATAAAGAAAATGGAAGTGTGACTATGAACACTTGATTTTAGTTTTCCCAGCCTTGTATTTCACATTTGTTATGGAATACAGTTATATTTTGGCACTCAACTGCTTTGAAACTCTTTCAATTTGATGCAGAAATTTTATTGCTGCACTGTTGGTTATTCCATGAGCAAGTTAGAACTTGTTAGTGTAAGTTGCTTTGTGACTGGTAGTCTTTCCAGCAGAAGCAATTTGTTTGGTATTCTTTGCTTTGGATACTTACCCTTTGTTTTGAAATCAATAATAAAGACCGATGTACTGCCATCAGTTAGCTCAGGCTGTTTCCTAAGAAAGAAACTTTTCTTCTTGCAAACCGCAGATTATGTCTTTCTGTGCTGATGGACCCATTGTCATTCCTTCATACCTTTCTAACTCACAGAATTAGTTGAAAACCTTTAACGTTGGTTGCTTTCTCCTGTTCTCCTTGCTTTTCAGAGATTGTACCTTTGTGTTAGAGGATCTCAATCCAGAAAGCTGGATACATTCTAATGGAAAATATCTAATATTCTTTTCTAAATTAAATATTAAATTTCAGTTTTTGCCTTCTAGGGTTTGTGCTTGTCTGTGTACTCCCAGCCACTGCTATCCCTGACTAGTTTTATAGCATGTGCGCTTGTGAGGTTCCACTGTTGCTCCTTCAGTCTGTATACCCCAGAACATATATTGAACTCTCAACTCTAGGTGTACTCCTGATCATGTTGACAGAAAAAGCAAACAGATCACTGTTTTGTGCTGGAATTTGGCAAAAGACGGTCAGGAAGTAGTTCTCTAGACTTGATCCCAGTGCTTCCCTACTCAGCTC